CCCCTCAGGGCTTCAGGAGGGTTACGTACGTCTCTAGTCTGAATGTCAAAACCTCTTGTTTCGCGTATTGAGGAGGAATCCATTTCGCTGTTGGTATATTGCTATTGTCTTTTCGCTTTTCTCTGTCGCTGTCGCAGTTCCAACCCATCTTTGTGTCGCTTGTCACCATTTCTGCTCCATTGTCGCTGTTCAAAGGCTATGTCGATTGTCGGAATTTACCCTAACTGGGTTCCTGCGCTAACAGCACCTTTCCCAGGGACAAACAAAAATGACCGTATCATATATAAAAACGTCAAATCACTTAATTGTGTCAATCAAGTTACATGTAGACCTAGATGTTGGTAATGTTGGGTACATCGACTCACTCTTCGTAATTTTGGTTGCCGTATCATAAGCAGTTTTATAGTTCATGCTCGGCCGTTATCTATAGGAAACGAAGCGCTTTTGAAGTGAAATTTTATTTGTCTTTAAAAACGTGAGTGAAAGCGCGCAATGCAGAAAGAAGGATTTGATTAGTACGTACTGAAACTTACTGAGGCGCTCTCTTTTGTAGACATTTTGGTCTTCTTAAACAAATAAGCGAATAATTTTGAAACCGCTCGATGCATTTTATTAAAAATTTCAGATTCTCAAGATTAACCTCTTTTTGTGTGACTCTTAAGTTTCAAGATTATTGATATCTTGTAAGACAGTAAAATACGAAGGGCTGCGGCGACCTCAAAGGCTTGACACGTTTCAGACAGGGCCTCCTTTTCTCCTCCTCGATCAAGAAGATAAAAGGAGGCTTTGATCGCAGGGTGGAGTCCTCATGATACGAGAGATGATTTTCTTGTCACCATGTAAACTCTTTTCTAAGGTTGGGTGGCCCATCTTCTGTCTCTGGTATAGTCGACTCTCTCTTAAGGGAATTTTCTATAAGACGGGTATCTCGGTAAAACGGACATCTACAGTTGTTCCTTTCCTTTCTCTGATCCCTTTCTTTTACTGTTTATAAGACGGACACTCAGTGCGCGCCCCAAAGGTGTTCCTCTTAGAAAACGTTGACTGCATACATGAGGCTCCTACTAGTGTTAATCGTGTTTTGCTGTTGTTGTTGTTGTTTTCTTTGTACTAGTTAAGCAGTTTTGAACCTGCATGGTTAGGAGAAGCTTCTATACGTGAATGATAATACGTTATTTAATGACCAGCTAGGAGAATGTATTTTTAAATCTGACCAGATTTATTGTCTCGACTAGCAGCTTATATCTCACATTCTATAATTAACCTTAAAGGTCTGGATAGGTATAAACCACTTAGCAAATAACGAGGAAATGCCTTTTGAGTGTCTCGGCGTATCGTCTTATAAGGAAGTAAATGTATTGAGATACTGATCAACCACCCTTATAAAAAAAAGTTGCCCGAAAAGATAAATTCAGCCCACCTAAATAACGTAAGCCGGCCATCTCTTCACTCTCGTTTTTTGCTCTAACAGGTTATCGTTATCGTGATGGGACTTCACATTTTGCTTTCACTTTAATAAGTGTTAGACACTTAGGCGACCTGAAAACAGCATAAGAGAGCTTTAGCAGTGTTGTCATCAGTCAAATATTTTCTCTGGTCGCGCATAAAACTTGCATACAACATACATGACCTAAAATAAAGGATCAATAAGACCATTTAAATGTGAAAAACAACTGTTTGAGTTAGTTTTCTAATTTTCAGGTCTCCTCTGCTAGTTCTTGGGAGCGTGATTCCTTCAGTCTAAAGACTGCTTAATTAAGCGGCATTAAGATGTACCTCGGTAAAAAAAGCTGCAGAATGAAAAGATCTTGTCAAATTAAGTCTAACCGGGAAAATAGAATGATTTACTCCTGAGTTTTACTTTTTTACTACATGTGTGGCTAGATTCTCCGAATATCGTGTACATGTTGGATTGAAAAGTCTGAAACTGGACTTCCAATGTGTGCAAGGTTAGCTATGAGATGTTAACTCCCACATATGTTTTAATTTAAAGCCTTACAGTGTGAGGTTTATTCACTTGACATGCGGAAGTTGGAATGCAGGGTTTCACTAAGGGGGGTAGCCTGTGTAGCAGGTGTTAAAAGGGGAAGGGGAAGCAGGAATTCTGGCGCGCGAGGATGTTGAAAACGGAAACCTTTTCCCCTCTTTTCCCATTTTTCCCCCTCCTCGCGCGCCCCTTTGCGCTCTCACGCACCCAATTCCCGCGTTCTCCTTTCCCTTTTAAAGCTGCCCCGCAGGCTACACGTAGGGGATTAAGCCCCTCTATTTTTAAGTTGTTTCTAAAAGGTTACCGTTGTGTACATTGGCTTGCACCTCACACAGACTGCAAGCAAATGTGACGACATGAAAAAAATATAATATCGAAAGTCAACCTTTGGAAAGTGTTAATGTGAAGATTTAGGATTGTTTACTGCTGGTGACCTCTCACGAAACCAACAAGTTGATAACTAATAACTGCTTAGGCTGATGGGGATTTAGGGTTGGTTCTAAGGACCTGCAGGGACTTAAAGGACATTGATACTATGAAAACACTTTACCGTAGTCTTGTGAGACCTTTATTAGAATATTCATGGCAAACTTGGAAGCCTCATGCTAAACGTAACATTGATAAATTAGAGGCTGTACAGCGAAGAGCCACCAGATGGATTACCAAGTCTGATGATAATTACGATACTATACTATCTAAGTTAAAATTGTTGTCATTATTTAATAGGAGGTTCATTTGAGATGTTACGTAATTGATGGACATTATGATATAGGCATATCAAACAAGCTCGTATTTTGTAAGGACAGAAACACAGGTTATAACTTGTAATGGGGAAAAATGACACACAGGACCTTGATTATAGCCATTGATTTATTATGTTCTAAAATTGGTTAAAGATATCAACAAGCGGAATAAAAACTGCTGCCACTGCTCCATTGAGCACGGTGAATAAAGATTTAAAAAAGGATTAACTTCTGTACTTCTTACTTTGGCTTGCACCCAAAAATGCGAGAACATTTGTCTTCAATCTGGATTTTGTGTGTGGGTTTGTTTATTGTGCTCTCTGATTTCGCAAAAAAAATTGTCGGTGCGGTTAGATTCTTCTAATTTCGTGTGGGAGAAAAGTCTAAAGTGACAGAGGGACGGCAAACGCCAAATTCAAGTTGAGAATTTCTCAAAACAGAAGGTGAGCGGATAAAAACAGCTCACAACAATTCTAATTAATCTAATGGATATAAAATTACGTGAAACTACCAACATTTGTGTAGATATAATGAACAGTAAACGACAAGTAAAGGGGAAACTTAGTCACGTGGTACAAATTCGCGTTTGCGTTTGACGTAAACGTTATGCTTAACCTCTCTTGAAACTTACTAGTGGATTTTAAGGAGCACTAACATCCCGGAATATCCGATACTCGCAAAGGCGGTTTTAGCTTTGACTGAGAAGACGTTATCGCTTATTTTGTTAACTTATTTTGTTAAGCTTGACCGCAGTGCTTGCAGCTCACTCATTTGATATGCGGAAGTTCAAAGTAGAATGCCCTGGAATGTAGGATCAGGGGGTTTATTCTAAGTAAGCCTTTCTACTTGCAAAGTGCACGTGGTTTTAAAAAGGTTGCGGTTGTGTACATTAGCTTACACCTGATACAGACTGCACGCAAATATGACATATCACTCTAGCTAAGAACACAAAAAAAAACCCTGAACTAATGTTAGCTTCTCCTACTTAATGACTGTTTTAGATCTTCTTCTATAACGTCGGAAAATCAGAATCACGTTTCTTACTGTGGACTATCAGCTTACCCTTTGCTGACTGTTTCAAAGCCGCAGAAAAAATACTTCCTGAATGCGCCATGAAAGGGATTGCGTGCGGCGAGCGGAAGTTTTCTAGACATAATCCATGCACACTTACCACGGATCATCACCAAAAACCCTTAACATTTATTTGGCTTTTGGAAAGAAGTGACAGTTTTCTAAAAGAATTATCATCACTGAATCATTGAACAAGTTAAACCACGAAGCAACGAGTGCGTTCGCAATGATAGCATTGAATGACCAAGAAAAGAGTTGAGGGCTTATCTAATAACAGTTTCCAGGATCCACTGTTTTTCATCCTTTCAGGAAACGTAGTGCATGTGTGGGTGGTGATAAAGTCTTTTAAGACTCATTACGTGGAATACCGCATGCATATAGAAAGGATAAAATTAGCTTCCCTTTGCCAAGAGGGTCATATCTCAAGTTTGACCGGCTAAACTGGCCCTATGCATGGTAAACAACTAGAGTTTTGGCAACAAACTTTAGATAAACGTTGCTCTTACAAATATCTACAATTACTGTTAATTGTAGGAATCTTTTTAAGAGGGAGTTGTCCTTAAAATATTTTGATAAACTATTTCCACCGACAGGGCCGTCTCTCGCACTGCACTCTGGGACCAAAGCGACACTTCTTTTGTTGAGCTCCGGAAAGGGTGCCTTTGTCTCTTAAATTTACATAGTATATGAAATCAATAAAAATTGGGCAAAGTGCCGGACAGCGTGATTCTAACAGAGTGCCCAGAGCTCCATAAGACAGTCGGTTTTCATTAGTTTGAATCTAGTGATGAAATACTTGGCAGAAGTAGCTGTTCGCGAGTCCTTCTTTTCTTCTTGTTAATATGCAAGACATGAAATTCGCTCTGTTAAAGCATAACACTGATATGATTAAGTGCACGGCTACTTAAAGTTGTCATACTGTGAAAAGCCAAATAAAATATTGTTTTGAAGATGACTGCCAAACGTCGGTTTAACGTCTCAACAACAACCCTATTCAAGACTTAAACTCCCACACAACCCAGACGATCACATTCCACCTATGTTTGAAATGACTCCTCGGCTCAAACCATCAACTGTAAAAAAAAAATTAAAATTTGCATCATATTGCACTTTCACTACCCAATCAGCTTGTTTTTACTTGTTAAGAGGATTTGGTATACATGGCTGATTTGTCAAATATGAGCCGATGAAACGTTTGTACCGCTATAAAACAACCCATCCAGATGTCGACAGGCCACTACATCTAGGTTTAGCAGCCAGATGGACCTCAGAAAATTTGCACCTTTTGTCTTTCTCCTAAACCTGGGGATTCTCCCTCTAACTGTAAAAGGTATGCCAGTCTCTTCTTTTCATCGTAGGCCGTTGCAATCAGCATTTGTATTGTTCTTATACCTAACAAAAGGCAAATATTACTTTTTTTCTTGTAACATAGTTGAAAATTGTTAAAATTTCATCTCCTGAAAAGCAATTCACCTCGGTCGAAGACTTTCTATTTTGTTCTTTATTTTTTAAGGAACACTGCGTGTACTTATTTAGACCAGCTCACATAAAGACAGAAGGTCTGACAGCTAATATTTTTGAATTTCTAAGTTGTTCTGATTTACAACTTTGGGGAACACAACAAGCCCCTCCCTCTCGTTTAAGTGACTAACTCAGTGCTCGAGCTTGCGACTAGAGTACTAAGGTCAAAGTCTCTGATCGATGCATTTTTCCATCTTATTTAATGCGCCAGTTTCTATACATCTCACGATCTCGAGAAAATGATTATATTACAAAGTTTTCGATGGATTAATTTGTTTGTTGTGACTCTGTTGTCCAAAATAGTACAGTCTGTTTCCGTCAGCGGGCTACCACTTGGATTGAAGGAAAACGAAACAAAATTTTAATCACAGACAGGTGATTGATTCTTGATACGATATTTCATATCCCCAAAAGACCTACAGTTTGGAGATTTCACAGCTAGAACATAAGATTTTGACAGTGGGGTGAGATCTCTGAAATTAAACCTGCCCCTTACACTCCACACCCACATTCTCATGCAACGCGAAAGTTTTAATCCATTTCAAACTTTTGACGGCCAAAGTGATAGCTGGCAGTTCATCAACCCATCTCTTACAGAAAACCTTAAACGAATTTTTATTCTTTGAGTTTCCTATTTTGGAATCAGTCATTTCCGCACTTCTACCGATGTTCATATTTCCTAATCCGTGCAGCTCTGTTTTAATCCAATCAGAGATAACTGTCATTTGCGGGCTACCCTTTTGATGCGAGGAACCGAGCTTACTCGACACACTGCGTGTGCGCGCGTAGCAAAACGGTAATTTCATTAATCTAGATATTTAGATTTGCTCTCAACAAGTGGAGTAACTGAACATGAAGGAAAAAGGAGCTAGGGGAGATAAAATTGGACTTAAAACAAATCTAAAAAGAGTTATTACAGTAGCTGTTCTCCGAGTTTGCCATTTGGACCGCCGCGATCTTTATCAAATATTGTCCAAACCAAGAGTGAAACATTGAAATATGATAAAGGCAAAGCAAACAATATAAAAAGTACATGATATCAAAATTTGCATACAGATACTTACTTCCAAGACGAGAATGCGCTTGTATAGAACTGACCAGATATGCCATTCACCAAATTGTTCAGTACAATTCCAGAGAAGCATGTTGAACAATTGAGGGGCGGGGGAGGAGGGGTCCAAAGAAATCGGTCGTTCAGTCCGCCTGCCAGTATTACCTCACGTCTCGCGTCGGTGACTTTCAAAATGGCGAGCAAAGTGTTCATCGAAGAGACAGATAAAAATTTCGAATTTACCAAGGAAATACCGCTCTGATTTCTTGGATTTGGAGATTTTAAGTTCCCTCTTGTCATAGAAAACTAGACTTTAGTACTTTTTTAGGATGAAACGTCTACTGGTGTAATAAATTTTAAAGATTCCTTTCTATCGTTGAACAAATTTTATGGGCAATCAAACCGACCAGTCACACTTTTGAGGGCCAGTGCACAGCAAGATTGAGAAATTTAGACACAGCAATAGGAGGTTCATCAAAGGATTTATTATACTTTACATTGTGCGTATTTTGAGCTCTTCAGAGCTAGTGGAACCTCATATCAATCCTTTCAAGGTTCGCTTAGCTGTAGCGTTGCAAAAGGAAGCTACATGACAGATATTTGTGAGAGACTGTGAGCACTGAATCTTGTTGCTTTAACATAGTTTAATACTGTACTGGGCATACACCTGTAATTCTATAATTAAATCCGGAAAACCAATGGTTTCGTTTAATTATTGTTTGGAGGCAAACCCAGTGGAAATTTTAGGGTAATAATATTGATGATTAAGACGATGTACAAAAGGCAGGTTTAAATTTCGCCAGTGGATCACTGGTGGGTGTGCAGTCTTGTGGTGTACTGTGTGTTGTTTGTCATGATGTCAACTAACATTGAAAAAAATTCAGCTGTTTGAGAGGAGAGGGGACATAAGCTGACAGCTTGTGGTTTTTTCTGGCCGTAAGCTTGGCCAGTATGCAGATCAAGAACTCTTGAAATTCCTTTTCCAAAATAATACTCCGGACTTAAGCTTAAAATATATATTGATCGCAGTGCATGACCAACAGGGTCAGCAGTAAGAATAAAGAAAAACAAGCGAAAAGGAAAAACCAAATATCAAAACGGTTTACACAAGCAGATTATAGCAACACCAAAGCTCACACACATTCGATCAAATTAGCGATATATAGCGATATTTGATAGCTTCTTAGGTTTTCCTCGACCTCACTCGTCCTAATAACTGTCGTATCCCTCGCTAATCTGCACAAGCGACCGTGAGGCTCTTGCCCGTTACTATGTGACGTCATACTGGCAGGCGGAGTGGGTCAAGAAACTTAGGAATAAAACAATAGAGTTACCTCCCCCTCCCCACCCCCTGATGTTGAGTAAATGAAATGAAAAATATCTGTATATATAAACTTCTTCCTCCTAAATTTTCTCACATAACTACAAGGCAAAGATTTTACACCTCGCCTGGAAATGAAAAGTGAAAAATGCTAGGCTACGTTTTTTCTTTTCCCTATAACGCCAAAGTAGAGTCGCTTATTACCCTCTAGACTTGAACCAAGGCCAAGTTACGTTTCTACAGCGCTATTTAAATAAAAAGAAAAGTCACAATATCCTTGCAAAAGAACAGCTTTTGGTGATATTTCTTTCAAACTGAAATTCACTAAATGAAGAAGAATTAATTTTCTGTCCTCACATTTTAATAACACACGAAAGTTGCTTATCTCTCCTCACCTTTCAAATAAACACAGACACACCCCTGGCCGCTCTTCATTTCTTTTCAAGCAACACTCCGTCTCTTTCCATCCCATACCTACACTACATTGAGACATTTTTTTTCCATTTTACAGGCATTTCCTATCAGGTTGGAAAACTAAACGCATCAGAGGCGCGTCAAGGATGGAATTGCAACAGCGGATGTGAGGCGCCACAACATTGTACACTGCCACGCTGCACTAACGTGGTATTTCCGCAAACGTTCAGTGGATCTGGAACAGTAAGTATACCTTAAAGCAATTAAAAATTACCCTATTTCTTCAAATAATAGCCTCGAGCGATTATTCGAGGGAGGCGATTATTTCAAATATTGGTCACTGGAAGTCGATCCCCAAATATTTTATTTTGTTACCCGTTAAATGAAAATAAAGAAATAATCACATCAAATATACTAAACATGGGCTTTATAAGTTTTGAAAAAATGGTTCGTTGTCAGAAGCAATCCTGTTCCTTGGTTATTTTTCAATTTCAATATCCTTGGCGTTAGAGCTTGAATCGTCACTGATCAGTTTTGCTGGATGAGATTCCACTTCAGCTTTGTTTGTTATCCAAGGCGTCAATTTTTAACTCGACAGGGAGGTGGTAAAGAAAGAGAAGATAGCGAGAAGGGTGGGGGTTAGGGGCGATTATTTGAGGGAGGCGATTAATCGAGGGACGGCTATTTTTCGAGGAAATACAGTAGTCTAATCTTAAGGGTTGGTGGCAACTTTCTTTTGTTAGCAGAACACAATAAGCTTCTTTAGAAACTAATTTTTTTTAACAAATTTTGATTTGCCAGCATTGTGGCCTTTGTAATGTTATGACCTCAGACAATTTAGTGCGCATAGGTGTGCTCAAGTGCTCCCTAATCCCTAGGATGCCAGTGTTTTCAAACAAAACAAAACAAGACAAAACAAAAAATCCAGAGAATTCTGACAATAAAAATAGGCTAGAAGATCTTTAATCCTTGGAATGGGGCCGGGAATGGAGGGTTGAATTAGATCCTCTTTTTCTTCAGATTTAGTGTGAGGAGTGCACGCGCGCACGAGCATTGAAACCACCAGACGCACGCGAGAAACGAGGGCGGCAGTCACGCGCGTGGTCATTTTCGTTTCTCGCGCGTTTCGCACGACAGACAGATCAACAGTCCGGAATATCCCTAAATTTAAGGACAGGGCCAAATGGTCACGCGACACTGTTCAACCAAGTAGAAGGTGGGCTTGTGTTTATCAAAAATGATCAAAATGATCAAAAATTTTCACAACAGCGGACAGAGTCGGACAGATTTTAAGATAAGCCAGGGGCCCATAACCTGGATAAGCTTACAATACTCGGCTAGGTTTCACATTATTTCAAAGAAAACATTTGATGTAAGAGAATAAGAGTATTATTCATTGCAAGGAATCATTGGGGTGTTCGAACTGATTCTGGACCGATCGCAGAGGTCGTGGCTTCACTGACTTGGCTTGCAAGATTTTTGATAGAAGCAAACTTGAAAATTTGTTGAGATCGTACAAAACAGGAATGGTACTACCTATTAACTTCTACAGAACAAGAATAAAAGAACCAGTCATCATAACAAGAATAAAAAGTGGTTCAAATTTATTAATTTTCCTTTTTTGTTTTTTTGTGTTGTTTCGTGTTGACTTCACGCATCTGGTGCTTTCTTTGCTTGTTGTTGTACCTGCAATGTTTTAATTTTATCCCAGATAATCAGTGCATGTCTAATGTGTAGCGAATTACATCATTTACAGTTGAAATTTGTCTTCTTTCTTTGATTTTTTTAACTGTGGATGAACATTTGGAGAATCCAACAACAATAAATCTTTCCTGATTTGGTGAATTTCAGAAACAAAGTGGTTAATAACTACCTTGCGCTTATGATCTTTAATTTTATCCCCGCAAATTCGGCAAAGTGAGGCGAGATGCATGTTGGACGTGAATATCCATAAGACTAATAAAGTTGTTTTGGCCTTGAAAAGAAAAAAGGCAAAGGCTCGAATTAATGCGAAAAAAAGTAGTAACACGGCTCTTCCATGTCTGCGTGAAACCTGGGAGTGGAACACGTTCGATCTCTCGCATCAAGGACAATTTCTCACATCTGACTCTCAAATCCGGACAAATTGTTCTTAACACATGATGACTGTGTCCTTTTTTGTGTTCTAACGAAATCATATCAAAGCACGCTAAAAGTGTCGTCTTTTAAGTAGCTTCGAAAGTGCTCAAACGTCAGGACTTCTAGCACATCTGAGGACATTTAACTTTCGGCAATGTTCGGAAGTCTTCGGTAATTCGTCGGAAATCTTTGGAAGTCGCCGGGACGTTTCGTGAAATCTTGGTTATGACAAGGTGAAAATCTCACGCATTTGACTCAGGCAGGTATAAAATTGGGACGTAGATCGTAAGAAGACCAAGAAAACCGTCTCTGAATCATCTCAGTAAAACCCTGCAATTGCCTTTGTAATGCCCTCATTCTGAGCAGCCATCGTATGCTGGTGCGTTCTCAGAGAAACGTAAATTTGAAATCATAGGTCATTTGCAGATGGTACATGACACACATGAGATTTTAAGCGTCTTGCTGCTAAGATTACGCCTAAAAACGCACATTTGATCACATTATACGATGAAAAGAGTGGAACAATGCTATTCAAGGCCTTAAGAGCAACTCCGCGTAAATATCAACTAGACGTGGAAATAGCCAAAAAATGACCTGGCCTCAAACTTGGCCAGAATAAAGCCCTATGGGCCCTAGTTACAAAATCGTTGGTTTAAGTACGATCGAGTGAATAATATTTTTTTAACGAATTTTTTCCTTCCCGAGGCCTAAAATGGGCAAAAATCATGCAAAATTAGAGTCATATTCAGTGGCTCGTATATTTTAAAATAAAGTTGGCTACTGAAATATAATAACACTTCACATTTTTTCTATCTTTCCTCTATAATTTTAACTGATTAGTTCGCGATTTGGTCAACAAGAGATTTCTTAAGAAATTTTCAAAGTTGTTGACTCAAAATCGCTTAATCAACCATCATAATTTAGCACTTTTTCACGAGCTAAAAAAGCGGATTGGTACATGGCTTTGAACAGCAAGGCGTGTTTAGCCTGAAAGACCATTCTTTTTTCTTCAAATTAGCGAAATAAAATTTTTGGGTAAATGAAATCACGAGCGCTGACAAAGCGAAGCAAATGTAAATGTTACACTAAAAACTGGCGAAAAACGTGACCTCTGACCGAAGCACAACCAAATGCAAATTACGGTAGGCGCCAAACTTTTAATTATTCGGTAACTTGTCGAAACAATATTGGTCTGAAATGTGTATAGGTTCTTTAAAATAAAGCGGAGTTAAAGTATTAAGTGTCAAAAAGTCCACAAAGCGGTAAAAAATACAACAAAAGTCACAAGTAATCTGTTCCGTTTTCTGAATTTTATGCAGCGATTTAACGAATTAACTGTGTTAGTTTAAGAGTCCATAGAACTTCTCAGAAGATTCCTCGGAGAGACCTCCAGAAGGAAATGAATGAAGAATTTGAACTTATAACTGTAACAATTTCACTTACCGCCACCGCAATGAACCAAAACAACTGTCGAACTGCCACAGGCAAACCAGCTTTCAGTGCAGTCATGCAAAGCATGTCACGTCACGTAATTCTGCCCAGTGCATTTGGGAAGGAGGCAAGAAACAGGAGCCATAATGGGTCTTGGAAAGAAATTATTCCACGCCGTGCGCTAAAACATTTATGAAATAAAATTAGCTCTGGACTGTTTCATTTTTGCCTCGGACTTGATGAGCAGGCGTTTTTAGGGGATTTGTAATTCCTCCCTCCCCACAAACGAAAAGTGTGAATTTTTTTTTTTTTTCACCAAGGGAGGCTAAATGTTTGGTTGCCTCTTAGGACAAATTCGCTTCATGGATCCGGATTTCTTGTCAGTGGAACTTGTGGAAGGCGCAAGTGCAATAACTGGATCCAAGTGTAATAAAGGTCCATCCGTAATAACATTTGAACCCAAGTGTGATAAAGGTTTCATCTGTCACGACTGAGATAATATGAGACATGTCCACAACGTCCTAAGTATGGTTATCTTAACTTAAAAAGCTGACATCACGGTTCATGTGACCAAACAGAACTAGAAAAAATACCATAGAATCTAGCAATGGCTCTCAGCAAGAGACTATAAAGGGGACAGAGAGGGCATCCCCCATATACACCATATTCCATGTCTTCCATAGGTAATTCGTCTCGAGTTATTTTTAGAATCGGGATAAAGTTACCTCGCGCGAGGCGTGGATGTTTCGTGGAGGTTTCGCATGACCAAACGCCGTGCAAAACAGGTCGGGCGAGAGGCAATGAAAGCGTAAAATGATCGAGAGCATTCCTGAATATTGAAGCGAAATGAGTCGGCGCTCACCTGGGAAAAAGGAATCGCTGGACTCTTTGACAACCCGTGAAATCAGTTTAACTCGAAGTTGTCGTAACCTCAGTGCTTTAATAAAATGAGAAATTTCGCCGGTCTATTGAAACCGGTCGTTTGTACAATTTAGGGAGTTTAAGATCCAACGACACGGACGACAACTTATAGAACGTCAAAAAAACAATAGGTTTAATTAGCAAAACAACAACTTCGCACGTGCAACACACTTTTTTGTTCATTTCTTTCCCATTTTTGCACGACTACGACGTGAAAATGCCTAATTTCGCGTTTAATGGAGGACGTAAATAAGCAACGACGAAATTTTATTTCTCTTTCTGAGCTTGAATATGGTCCCTTGAAATTCAGCTTTAGGAGGGTTCGCCTACAATTGACAAAGTAAGTGGGTAGGAATAATCGCTATAAAGACTGAAAAAATGAACATCAAACCAGAAATTGCTCTCTTCAAACTGTAAATTATAAATCATCCTGAGAGAATATTCAGTGTGTTAAGGATTTCCCTGCTCTACTGTTAGCTCTATACAAGAGAGGAAGGGCGATTCTCTTTTAATTTCGGTTTCGCTGACACAGCTTTCGCAGAAATCTCGCTGTAGTCGTTTTCGTCGACAAAAGGAATAGCAAAATCGCTCTCCGCATCTTCCCCCATTTTGCTCTGCGTCATTTCGTGAAGGACGCGTGGCTCTCAGCGTGGGTCATCCACGCGGAACACATTCGCGCTATGTGAATGACTGTTGTCTAATCCCCTTTGAGATCTGTGGTGTTAAAAATAACTCGAGACGAATTACCTATGGAATAGGGTGTATATGGGGGATGCCCTCTCTGTCCCCTTTATAGTCTCTTGCTCTCAGTTAAAGTTTTGGCAAATTTTTGCTATGAAACGTGCTTTTAAAAAATTCATCGCTTCAGAACAAATAAATGTGTCATTCCCGTTCGCTTACATAAAATGTCAGGCGAAACAATCTTAAACCCCGGATCTGTTATTATTTTTCCCCTCAGTCGTCTTGTCATTTTCACTATTTCACTCACGGCTGAATTTTATCGATAGGATTTCATGACTGTCAGTACTTTGCAAAAATAAGTTCCCGCAAATAAAAATTACCGCAAAAAAATTTGCCGCAAAAAATTTACGCCAGAGGAAATATTGTATTCCCTAACTTAAATTCACTAGACAAGAATAAGGTACCAAGAAATCGTGTCTGTTCAATTACAACTGGTCTGTTTTTTTCAGAAACAAATACTGACGCACCCTTAGTATTCTTTGAAAATATGTATTTCTATTGCACGTACTCAATAAAAACGAAAATATTATCAATGCTGGGTACTGGGTACTTTCTGAAATTGCAAAAATTAATCCCCACCAAGAAAAACCAGTCTGTCCTAATCGCAAAAATTAGTTCCCGCAAGACACAAAAAATCGCCAATCCGCAAAAATAAACTCCCGCAAGAATTTCGTTCCACACGGTACTTGGAAAAATGATCGGTTGTTTGATCAACCAGGGTCAGGTCGTTACTTTTGGTTCCTTACTTGCGCCAGTTCAGGTTTATTAGACTACCTTTGTAATCACCAATGATGTTTATAATTATGTACTTTAGTTTTAAATTCAATTTTGGTAACGACCCCACAGTATCAGCCCCCGACAAAGGTTTGTGTTGCAAACCGACTAATACCGGGAAGAATGATTTCATGTATATTCTTAAGTTTGTTTGTACTGGCTTTCTTTTCTCTTTTCGTCGATCAGTTCCTTCGATTTGTCCTTTTAAATTATCCAAATCTTTTTTTGAGATCCGGATGTGGCCACTAGTTCATTGGCTTCCGAAGAGCTCATTCCCTGTTGTTGGCTTTTAGTGGGGATGTTTCAACACAAGGAACCACCGAACCACAGGAAACCGAATGATTAGAAACGGCTCGCAACAAATATGTCTCTTGTTCCTCTAGGATACACATGATCAACACAATTTTCATATTACATAAATAAAATTATACTGTTTTTCGTCCTACAAGTGAGCCTCTAATATAACTCGAAAAAAATTGATTTACTTACACACGCCAGCATAAGCCTTGATTGGCTCCGAACTCAGAGTAACATCTTTGCAGGGGGAGATCCAAGAATTTTTCATTGGGGTGGGGGGAGGTCCAAATTTTGGTTCAGAAAGGACTGTTGAATGCAATTTACTTTTCCCCACACCCTCTCCCAGTAGTCACTGAGAAGGCGATAGACGACTACGTGTTTCTCAATCTGTGAAAGCCAGTTGCCGCAGGCCCGAGAAATACACAGACTACGAAGGGTACCCAAAGAAAATCACATTTTTGAATATCCCTGGAATTTAGTTTGGTGGCAAAATACAACACGCGTTTCATTAAAAAATTCAGCCAGTTAAACAGTGATATACAATCCTATCGTTATAAGGATTTTAGTCTGAAACAAGTATCAGGTCTGATGGAGTGGGGCCGGGGGGGGGGGTCTCGGATCCCCCCGACCATCCCCCTGGACCCGCCACTGCTTTGGTGCCCTTTGATATCCCGTTCAACAGCATTCGTTAATTCGAACACACCAATTGCTAACTACAGATGCACGTTCTGAACTTGAAACACAATAATTATAAACAGCAGATAAAATAAAAGAAGTGCACTGCGTTCCTCGAGCAAAAACAGGGAAAAAGTTATTCTTTTCTTTAACTAGTTAGAAAAGATACAGTCCAAAGCTTGTTTTATGTCATAAATGTTTTAGCGCACAGCATGGAAGAATTTCTTCCCTCCCTTCCAAATGCGCGGGGCCGAATTACGTGACGTGACATGCTTTGCATGACTGCACTGAAAGCCGGTTTGCCTGCATCCTCGGAGACCCAGGGGCAGTCAGTCGGGTCGATAAAATGTTCGTGGTGAAAGTTTACTGTAAGATCGAGACGAGCCCCTGGGCACTTACTCTTACCGAACCAGTTCCAGAAGCGTTTGAATTGCCTGCTTCTGATTGGCCAGAAAAAAATTTTTCTGGCCAATCAGCGAAGAGAAGCTGCCGGGTGACTCTCGTGTTTTCTTACACGACGTAGTTTTCCTCATCGATCGCTATAGTTGCGTAGCGCGTTCAACGGGCAAGTTCCTCGAGGAAAGTTTCAGAACAAAATGTTAACAACCCGCAAAAACTACAACCTTTAGCACGGCTACAAGAAACAAACACTCTCCGATGAATTTTTAAGGCAGATCTTTCCAAGGTATCGTAAATTTTTATTGCTGATACGATACGCGATGCATGACTTTCACTTTCCACACCTTAATTTGCTCACATTGTTTAGTATACAACTCCAAGGTTACATTTTAGACGTCCATGTTCGTTGCACGACTTCTGAACTTTCTACAGCGTGAAAATTTCCGTTGCACGGGCCACGCAACTGCGTCGATTGATCGTGGGAATTGCTGGCTTGATGCAGTGCGCACCTTCTTGCTTTCGCGCAAACTCCCTTACCGTAAGTACTTTAAATACAGCCGTTGTGTTTAGTTCGAAATCTCGGTCCGGTTATGTGCTGAATCGTGACTTTTTAAGTGAGGTCGATTTTTGCAGGCTGTGTGGGTTTGTTTTTACGGATAAGCGAAGAAAAAAAAATAAAGTTGAGTTTGCGAAAAATGTTTGAAAGTGGTTGGTGTGAAAGTTTTGGAGGGCGATAAAAGGCGCAGGGTGTGACACGTGTAGGTATAGAGTTGAGAAATCGTGGAAGGGTGGGAGGTCTATATAGATATTTTTGTAGTCACTAAAACTTTACAAGAGGTGAACGCTCTTAAGGAAATTCCAGGGAGAAGAGACCAAGGAATAGGGACACTTTCCAAAGATCCAACTTCAGCTCTTGATTTCAAGGACCTGGGTCAGGGTCTGGCTTACTGGGTTAATCTTCACTGTGATTAGAATTATGGCTAATATAGTACAAATGAATTTTCATTATAAGATATCTTTTAACAAATACATGTATAAAATTAATTTCACATAATATGTGATTTTTTGCCAAACTTTTTATCTATGATTGGCTTGATGTTTCCCCCTACTGACCCCCTCAAACACATCCACAGTGCCATTGTTTTAACTCCCTTGCAATTGATGTTACAAGATTGGACTTATTTTGAAAGAATAATGCTGCAATATTAACAATTTTCCTTTGGTGCATTTTTTTGATATTTTACAACCTCCCTATTATAATTCTCCTCGTCTGACAATAATATTCTTCATTTATAATTATTTTTAAATCTTTAAACACCCTCTTCAGAAAGGTAAAAATCTTTATTGCATGGTCACCATTACACACAGTGTCTCTAAAATACCTTCCACAGTACATAATTTATGACAATTAACAATTATTGTTTCCTATAGAAGACAATCAGAGAATACAAATTCTAGAATACAAGCAGTGAAGATTTGATTCTTGAAATTCTTGTCTCAGATCATCTTGATTTTCTTTAAGCAGACTAACAGTCTTTGGCACTGATGTCACAACATAAGTGGCTTGGAATGATTCTGCTGTTTTCATTACTGTCATCAAAAAGGAAGGATTTTTTCTCTCTTCTGCAAGTTGTTGTTAAAATAAAATAAAATATTGAAGCTCCCTAGTATTTCTATAAGTCAAGCAGTAGTATAAGTAGACATGTGAATTCCAATAATGATAAAGTAAAAAAAAACAATCTCAACAGCTGAAAAATAAAATTAATGTAATGGCATCTGTAGTTCTGTATTACGGGATGTTTTTCCATTTGTAATATGTAAATGTTCAATTGCACTATTATCTTAAGCAGTCACAAGGCTTACTTTATCAGCTTTTAATTGTCAATAGATGGTGACAAAAACATGATAATTCTTGTGAAGTGTCTGTCAGCTTTTAGACAACATTACTGAGCATCCTTGAATAAAAGCCAGATCTACTGTTAAGTATAATGAGGGTCCTGTAGAGGGATAACAATCCCATTGAAACTGTTTAACCCTCAATTCCCATTTTTTACATTTTTTTACATTCTCAGTGATAGAATCCCCTGCTAGTGACTTAAATCCCATTTTACCCTTCAGAACTCCCCACAATGAATCCAGTGTAGTACCCTTTCTAGTAAACAAATCAGCATACTTACCAATGAACAGCTGTATGTACCTGCAACAGGATTCTTCTGGTAAAACTCCGTAGAGAACATTGCCCTGAATTTCTTGTCCCCCCAGTTAATGATTTCGGGCTTCCATACAACAAAGAAAACGCTCCCTATCCATTCAATATTTCTCGATCTTTCGTTTTGCTTTCCCCTAAGTAAGCGCCCTGAATTCCTAGTGACCTCGAGTACTTTACCTGGTCCTCAACAACTGACATGAGAGATGAAATCACTATGACCAAAGGATTATAAGGGAATTCATAACCTTTAGCATCTAACGATTTTTAAACCCCCCTAGCTTACAGGCAACATTTGGAAGGTTAGACTCTTCTATCAATTGCCCAAGAACATCTCTTCTTTTCACAATCTTCTCAATAACAAATCTTTGCAAGCCTTCTTCAAGCGCTTGCTGGACGTTTCCCTCGAATCTAAAGTTAACACTACTATCAACTTCGGCAGAATTCGTACGGTCAACTGCTGTAAGCTTTTAAGCTTAAAATTTGGAGCAAAAGCAAGAAGAAGGCACTACAGCTATGCGCTAGCCGGCATTTCCCACGATCAATCGACGTAGTTTCGTGGCCCGTGCAACGGAAATTTTCACGCTGTAGAAAGTTTCAGAAGTCGTGCAACGAACATGGACATCTAAATGTAAACTTGGAGTTGTATACTAAACAATGTGAGCAAATTAAGGTGTGGAAAGTGAAAGTCATGCATCGCGTATCGTATCAGCAATAAAAATTTACGATACCTTGGAAAGATCCGCCTTAAAAATTCATCAGAGAGTGTTTGTTTCTTGTAGCCGTGCTAAAGGTTGTAGTTTTTGCGGGTTGTTAACATTTTGTTCTGAAACTTTCCTCGGGAAACTTTCCCGTTGAACGCGCTACGCAACTATAGCGATCGATGAGGAAAACTACGTCGTGTAAGAAAACACGAGAGTCACCCGGCAGCTTCTCTTCGCTGATTGGCCAGAAAAATTTTTTTCTGGCCAATCAGAAGCAGGCAATTCAAACGCTTCTGGAACTGGTTCGGTAAGAGTAAGTGCCCAGGGGCTCGTCTCGATCTTACAGTAAACTTTCACCACGAACATTTTATCGACCCGACTGACTGCCCCTGGGTCTCCGAGGATGGTTTGCCTGTGGCAGTTCGACAGTTGTTTTGGTTCACTGCGGTGGCGGCAAGTGAAATTGTTACAATTATAAGTTCAAATTCTTCATTCATTTCCTTCTGGAGGTCTTTCCGAGAAATCTTTTGAGAAGTTCTATGGACTCTTAAACTAACACAGTCTCAGGTGGGTATCGTTAGTTCGTTAAATCGCTGCATAAAACTCAGAAAACGGAACAGATTTAATACTCGTGACTTTTGATGTATTTTTTACCGCTTTGTGGACTTTTTGACACTTAATACTTTAACTCAGCTTTATTTTTTAAAAAAAATATACACGTTTCGGACAAATATTGTTTCGAGAAGTTACCGAATAATTAAAGGTTTGGCGCCTACCGTAATTCGCATTTGGTTGTGCTTCGGTCAGAGGTCACGTTTTTTCGCCCGTTTTTAGTATAACATTTACATTTGCTTCGCTTTGTCAGCGCTCGTGATTTCATTTACCCAAAAATGTTATTGCGCTAATTTGAAGAAAAAAGAATGCTCTTTTAGACTAAACAAGCCTTGGTGTTCAACCATGTACCAATCCGCTTTTTTAGCTCGTGAAAAAGTGCTAAATTTTGACGTTTGATTAAGCGATTTTGAAACAACAACTTTGAAAATTTCTTAAAAAATCTCTTGTTGGCCAAATCGCAAACTAATCAGTTAAAATCATAGAGGAAAGATAGTAAAACTGTGAAGTGTTATTATATTTTAGTAGCCAACTTTATTTTAAAATGTACGAGTTACTGAACATGACCCTAATTTCGCATGATTTTTGCCCATTTTAGGCCTCGGGAAGAAAAAAATTCGTTAAAAAAATATTATTCACTCGATCGTACTTAAACCAACGATTTTGTAACTAGGGCCCATAGGGCTTTATTCTGACTGAGTTTGAGGCCAGGTCATTTTTTGACTATTTCCACATCTAGTTGATATTTACGCGGAGTCGCTCTTAAGAACAAGTTTTTTTGTAAAAAATAAGGGACAAGCAGGTCCTTTGTCAGTTGACAGTAAAACCCAAGGCAAATGTCAGTAGTCAGTTAAATTTTCGGCTATTTGTGAGTTGTCAGTCGTCAGTTAACCCAATCCAGACCCTCTTCTAGGTTGCCTACTATCCCCACATTCAACGTGATAAACGTTAATGGATATGACAATTGAGGAAAAATATCTAGAACTTCGTAAAAATCTGTAAATCGAAAAAAATTATAGATACTTGTTCACCTACCTTGAAAACCGACCAAAATCTCGCCTACATCGTGTTGTTTAAAAGAAGAAATAAGGCACAAAATGTGCTGAATATTTCACGAGAAACTTCCAATATGGCTTTCGATACGCTTTCCACTTGAAAAAATTGTGTATGCCTCATGAAAAGTCTTACAAATATGCCTGAGAGTCTCGAAATGGTGACTGTGGTCGTTTAGGTAATCTATCCGCCATTTTTCTCGCGAACAATAGCTCCATGACGTCACAACTGCCTTTAAATTTATTCCGTACTGATCAAGGTAGAAGAAAAAAGAGAGACTGCTCGTAATCTAGGGTTGAATTGTCGCCTGCAAATTTTCATTCATGCTTATCTTTTCAGGTTCGAGTCTTTGTGTCATTAAGCCACGAAGATCAGTCTTTAGTTGTTCATTCGCCTTCTGCTGTGTGGGCAGAGTCCATAAGTACAGCAGGATTTCAGTTATGCTCGCGTGCAACAGGTTCTACAAATGACACTGGAATTATCAACTGGATAGCGTTTCAGGACAAACCCATGTTAACGCATGGAAGCGTTACATTTAGTGGAATATGGACAACAGAAACCAAGTGTGACAAGGTGGCCTTTTCTCAGGTTAGATAACAATAATTGATAACAAGTGTATAATTTTGTTATCAAGGTGTAAAACGTAATTAAATAGTAGAAACAAATGAAATAGTATCAGAAATTATAGTTCTAAAACAAATGATCTCTAGTTCAATATCCGGAATTTGTTCTTATTGGAACAGGCCCGATTATAATCGGGCCTGGGAAAGTGCATTGCTAAAAGTCTTGTTAAGCTACCTCTCGGGCTTAGATTCAAACTTTTCCTTCTATCGCCTTTAGACAAGCCATTTTCACGTTTTACTTTAGAACATAGTTAATTGAGTGGACTGGTTATGAAACCTGTCAGACTCCTTTGTTCTATGTTTTTGTGGACCAGAAAATGCACAACGTTCAAAAGCATTCCTGTCATTTGGATTGTTTTGACCAATAAAAACGTTGCATTAATATATTCTGTAACAATCTGCCAACAGAAAATAAAGGATTGGGCGCTTTCAGGGTGCTTCCAACATAAAATGTAGCACTGTAAATTGTTAATTTATCATTGATGTTTGCCGCTTTTCATAACCAGTCTCCTCTAATAACTATGTTTAGAAGTAGTGATTGAATAATGCTTGACCGTTTTGATTGTATTGATGTATCAAAGGAAATCGGGAAAATAGAAGTCTATTTATTTAATGATGTTAAATTTTTGGCATTAAACCTAACAAAGTTAGCCGAACAGAAACATTGCCGTTAGAAGCTTTATTTAAGTAATGGGCCAAATAAGATGCATTCAACAACCTTCTCAACACTTCGTAGAAAGAGGTGAAGAGGGGTAGAAAATTGAGTCGATGTGAATAGACAAGTAGTCAAGATTTAATTAATCTGCTCCCATTAGCCTTTGATAAATCCTTAATTTCATAAGTGCCTCTGAGCACTTCATTGATACGATCATGTTGATTTATATCTCGAGAAAATCGTTTATTTTTTAGTCAATAGTTTTTCATATATCTAACATTTTTTTTGCAGAGCTTTGCTTCCAAGCCTCGTGTATTTGTCTCTGTTAAGTACACTCGCAGTACTAAACCAAATGATGCTATGTACTTATGGTTAGAAAACGTCAATTCTGGAGGATTTGAAGTGTGCTTAAGGGAATTCTTGCCCTTTGATGGAAAGCACCAAGATGCAGTTGTGGTAAGTGAAGAAAAATGCTCGAGTAAACTATAATATTATAAATATAAATAAATAAATAACTCGACTTTGCCATACTTCGGCAGCCCGGACAACCAATTACCTAGAACGTTCGTAACAGTGTCTCACGCAGACATTTCTTGTTAAAGGAAGTGTCGTTCGATGCCTGACGTCTTTTAAATTAAACTTCATTTTCTTGTCCACAGGACTGGTTCGCATTCACTGGAAATGGGAGTCAACTTAATTTCACAATAACTGGAGAAGAAATCTTTCCAAACAGTGGAAATCCATCGGCCAAAAACAACTACGGCTTCTGTCAGGTGAAAACTTTAGTTCTAACAAGAACATTTAGCAAGCCACAGAACATTTTCAGTGGTTGAGGTCACACTAGAGAAAACTTAATATAGTAAACCAAAATTTACCAGGCCATGGTGATCGACAATGTATCCAAAATGGCAATTCCCAGACGAACGCGACTTGAATGTGCGCATATTTTGGGATTTTTAAATTTCGCGACTTTGCAAGAATTTTATATTTCGAATCACTTCAATTTCGCGTTGTTGAGTGGGCGAATATTAGAAGTGGGGACTTTACAGACGATGGGCAAAAATAGAGGGAGAAGTGAGCACGTTCACATCCATTTACTAACTTACATTACTTTTTTACCTATTTACAGGAAGTACCTTTCAATACGACCTTTTACAAATCGCCAATTGTGATTCTTTCCGTAAATCATGAGTATAATCTTCAGGTCAAGGGAAGCCGTCTTCCAGAAAATAATATAATATCGTCCTGGGTTGAGGTAGGTTTGAATTTTTATTCTAACCTGAGAAAAAAGCCGGCATTTCACGCTACGCCACCACTAGTTTTTCCACAAAATGACGTCTGATGAACGACGATAACAAAAATTGTATACTGATGATGTGTCAACTGGGCATGCAGTGCTTCTGATTGGCACGACCAATCAGGCACGACCAATCAGGAGCAGTATCTTGATCTGGGAAGTGCAAAGTCATCATTATGGGATTTCTTCACTCGTTCCACAGACGTCTTTTCAACCAATAATTAATTGCGTCGCGAAATGGGGTTTTCCTCACTGGATAATATTCTTGTTCAATAAGGGAAGAGAAGTAATCCGTATATTCTAGTAAATTGATAAAAGGACCTCGAAAGAGCCATAAGAAACAGATAATTTGGATCTGATCCGTAAATTTCATGACTTGTATTGTCTTCGTAGAAATTAAGAAGAAATTATGGATTTTCTAGTAACTGATGAGTGCTATCACATTTTGCTGTAGGACGTTGGATTAGAATCTATGAAGATATGCGTTAAAGACCTCAGCGGATTAGGATCGAGTCATGATCCCTTGATTGTCAGCTACGCTGTTACTGGAGGTTTCTTAATTAATTTTCCTATTGTAATGATCACTATTTCTAGAATTATGATTATTATTATTATTATTATTACTTTTATTTTTATTGATATCTTTTAGAAGTTTTTATTTGTAGGAAAACGTTTCATGATGATAGAATTAACTAAACGCTGGAGTACAAACAATGATAAGCTTATTCATGTTACACTCTACCTTTGAACGCACGTAAGGAATGATGGGATAAGAGCAATTAGAGGGCAGACAAGTAATAAAATTGCCAAACGAGTAATCGAGCAATCGCGGGCGAGTTTGTTTATTCCCTCAAAATAAGACGACGATTCTAGTCATGCAAAATGCAAAATGTAAAGTTCGACAAGTTTTACGTCATAATTCCTTGCTGTGAAGACTTCTACTGTGGTGTACTGCATTCAAAATCACTTCCACCCATCTTTTGCGATTTTCCTTTCATTTAATGTTGAAACTTCTTTTCTATTGTGTAGATCAAACAAAACTCGACTGCATTTTTGTATTTGCAGATTTTATCTCTTGTTTGCCCCCTGAGAAACCACGTAACATTGCTTTAATTCATTCCATCAGCCTTAAGCGCGTGCAAAGATGGCGGGTATCGTTAATAAGGTCTGCTAACGATAAAAATAATAGGTTGAGTTGCCTGTGTGCAAACATATCATTACTATTTAGTTTTAATTCAAATATGAAAAATATATTAGAAATTTATGTTTTTTCCGAATGGATAACTACTCAATATTATGTTTTTTTTTGCTTGCTGCAGATCTTAATCCTTGCCTTAATGTGCATTGCCCTCGATTTGGAGTCTGCAGGACCTACAGTGCGCATGACGCTCAGTGTGAGTGCGATGACCAATGCCCCTCATATAAAGACCCAGTGTGCACTGCGAACGGAACAACTTACGACAACCGATGCTGGCATAAGTTAAGCTATTGCAGAGGACTCGAAAATAATCTGGTCTACCACCCAGGAAGCTGTGAAGGTAACGAATAATGATTTCAACGATTTTTTTGGCTGTATGTGCCACATAAACTAGTCTGGGAGTTAAGCTCTCGATCGCTTAGAATTATAGTTGTTGGCTCAAAATTGCATTCAATTTGGCTTCTAGCTATAGGATGTTTATAGCGGGGCTCCCGCGCGCGCGAAGCGCGCGTGGGACAGAGCCCCATACCCATGGAATATGGTCAACCTCTTTTCGTTTGGTTGTCACGTGATTGACCGAGCGTACGTACGTACGTACGTACGCGTCTACAGATTGTATGGGTGGGGTAGGGGAGACTATCAAAAGGAAGGGAGGGGTGTCTCAGGCGTGTCTTGGCAAGTCCACATCTTTAATATAGGACATTAACAATATGGTCAATTGACAGCTGTCCAAACAGGATAGCCACTGACCAGTATCCCATGACCATATCGCGGGCTCATGTGTCAACTCATCGAGGTGACGTGATTTATTTGGAAGCTGTCCGCTGACCAGTTAACTGTTTTACTAGATCGCGAACAACGTTCAATCTCATACTTTTACTAGTTTGGGAGCACAGGAAAACTGATAATGCACACATATTGGACATCAATGTTTTGATCAATTGACAGCTGTCAAAACAGAGTACCCGCTGACCAGTATCACTTGACGTATCGGGGCTCAGGTGTCGACCCGTCGAGGTCAAGTATTTTTTGAAGTTATCCGCTGACAAGTAAACTAGTTTTCAAGTGATCGCAGGCTCAAGTTCAATTTTTTTTTTAATTCATATGAAATATGTTGTGTTTATGTGCTGCACAATTAAAATTTTGATTGCAAACTGACCTCGGACGTGAAAATTCAGCCAGCTGTTACAGGCAGGAAGACAGTTGCTTTTGTTTTTTCTCACAATGGTCACGCGTTGGTCACGCTCTACGTCCAATTTTTATGCTCTGATTGGTCAAAATTTGACAGGTGAGTTCATGCGCAAAATTTATGCAGCATCTTGAATCTTGTTTACTTTAACAGCTGAAGCTGACAGAGTTTTGTGTCAACTTGTGATGTTTTTAACTGTCTTTTTCCACTGGATGTACAAAATGAAATTCAGCTGCTATCAGGAGTCTTCTGTTACTCATGGCTAGTTTGTTTATTGGGTTTTTGGTTGAGAAAACGTCGCTTGTCAAAGTCGGAAATCCGATTTCGGATGGCATCGTTTTCGTTTTCACCTTGCTTGATGCGTAAGAGGATTGCAAAGTCTGAAGCGATACTGGCTTTACCTGATAACTTTCAGGAGCTGCATCTCGAATGGTAAGCCAGAGAAATTATTGTATTTCATGTTTGTTTTTTGTATCTAATTTAATGAAGTGGAGCGTAGTTTATGCGGGAATTTAGTTTATGCGCGTTTGTAAGATTTGAGACAACGATCTCACCGAGTATCTGGTTTGATATAATCTTACAGAACTTTAAAAAGCCTTTAGACAGTTTCTCACCGCAAATAGAAAGAAAATGTTCCAAAGAATCTTTAGTTATAATTCTAGCCGGAAAAGAAAGCTTTGAGCGATTTTCTTGCCTCGAGTTCGTCTTTGAAAAACAAACACCGGGAAGCTGGCTTAAAACATAAACTTCAGCAAACTTAAGCTTGAAGCTTGAAGATTCAGGATATTTAGGGACACTTTAATACTTGTCTTCCTGAATGAAAATTGTTGTCTCTGTTTATGTTTCACCGAATTATATTTCTTTTATTGATTGTTAGTAGTCTCTCTTGCAATTTTAATCGCTATGCCGATTGTTTTCAGTCGTTCAGTGAACATCGCTTGCAGGAGTTCTCAAAATGCCGCGCGTTAAACCATCAAATAAAAAATAAACATGATAAATTCTTTATTATCTTGGAGCGTAACTCTGTTAATGTTCATTCAAACACTCGCTACAGCTCGCACTACAAAAGTAAGAACCGGATGGCCGTATAGGTGATTTTGGAAAATTTTTTTAACAGTTTATGAATATTGAATGAGAGCAATTTGTATTGTGAAATACTGCTTTCTGTCCATGGTATAAAAGGTTGGTTTACACGCACCCAGATTTGTTGGCAAGATTTTGCAAAGTAAACTTGTCGAACGCCAAAACGTTGGCCTGTTTTTTTTTCTAAGCCTAATTGATCTACGGTGATCAATAGCCATTACGGCTCTTAAATGTGATAAAAGATGATAACCAGTTTTTGAGTGTACATATGAGGCAATCAACTCGATGTAAGATTTGGTTCACTCTTGGGCTGTTTGCAAATTATTTTTCTCTAAAATCAGGTAGCCTTTCTCTCAAAAGTCACATAAATGTGCTCTAAAGTTAACTGAATTGTGGAATTCGAATACAAGTTTATTGTTTAATTTAAATTATAAATTTACTAATGGGAGCCTCGCTTTTAGCCCTGGCTAAATCTATATATTAACTTTCCGTTACTTTTAAGCTCACTTCTAGCCCCTCACGCAGGCTAAGCAACAGTAGAGAGCTGTAACAAGTTACTTCGTCTCTCTGCTTTGGCAAACAAACACATAGCAGCCCAGACTATAGTCGATGTTTGATCTGTGTAAGCCTCTTTTATTCTCTTTTGCCTTGCAATCTAGTTTTTATCGCGTAAAATTAGATTTACACAAATTTGCTCGGGGAAAATATGGTTCAAAAAAGTGCAAAAGAGGAGGAAATCAAACACAAGGGTGGTAAATATCACATTTACGTACCAGTTTACATGGAGTTACATATTTGAGGGCAAATGCAGTATTTATTATCTTTGCCCTTGATTTCATCCTCTTTTGTATTTTTTTTTTTTTTGTACCCTATTAGCACTGAGTAAATTTGCTGAAAATCAAATATTTCGCGCAGTGGCGCGAGCTCCAACGCGTACATGTCATCAGGTACGCTTTTGATTTATAATTTTTTTTTTGGCCTCCTCCAGTACTGCATATGTTTATCTTTATACTGGCATATGTTTATCTTGGGCACTGAAACCAGCAACCAGCATGCAATAATAAGCAGCCACTATACATTTCGTTGTTGAAAGGTAGCCGACATTGCAAGTTATAGCCTAGTTTTAGTTCAATTTCCACGCTTTTTTTATCACCACCCTTCACCACTTAGAGTGACACTACAACGCAAGCTAATGAAGCTACGACCTTAGCGATAATGCTTAAAGAGTACAGTGATGCTTCCTTATCAAGTACTTAATTTATTATAAAACAGGTTTTCCAATTGTTCGGGGCCGTGTAGATCTGCTACAGGTTCCAAAATGGTCAGATTCAAACTGTCAGACAGTCACATTTCCTCCATACCGGTTTTATCCTGATAAACAAGTTCATGTTCAAATAACCGTCAATCACATGAAGCTGAATGACTCTGTGACAGTCCACGACGCTGTTACTTCATGGACAGAAAGTATCAACACAAAAAACTTCACCGTCTGTGTCATGCAAACCGGAAGGAAAGAAGAAGGTGCGAATCCATTTGCCACCATTGATTGGGTGGCTTATCAAGGTGCACCGCCCGAAGGATTGACGGGAACGGTTGAGTTGCAGAAATGGTGGTCTGGTACCAACTGCGCAGATGTGACTTTTCCTACGGTGAGAGATTATATAATTGATGCAAGTCCCCAAGGCAAATGTTAGACTTTCATTCATCTGACAGCTTTAATCCACGCCGTCTTTAAATAAAAAAATAACGGATCATTACGAGGTGACTAGGAAGAAAAAAGACGATTGCTACAATAAATAACAAGACAAGGTTAGGTAATAAATAAGAAGGGGAACTTACTCAGTGATTAGTTGCGTGTAATTTTTGCAGCAGTATTCATCTTAACATGACTTCAGTTGTTTTTATTGTGTTTTTTGGGCTTTTTCTTCAGGGCAAGTTTGCTGAGGCGCCAATAGTCCTTGTGACGTCAGAGCACCTGAGGACTGGTAAAGAGTATGATGCTGCTCTCATTTGGATTGAAGACGTAACTAAGGACTCAGTTAAAGTCTGTCTTCGTGAAATGCAAAACTTTGACGGTAGACACCAAGATATCACTGTGGTACGTTCTTAGTGATTTTCTTAGAAACTGGAAAGCGAATGTCTGCAAAATTTGTAAGGATTGTTGGTCTGTTAACCATAACAGCGCGGTTAAGTTGAAATGGCGTTGATAACTTTAAAGATCGTCCGGGCGAGTGATGGTTCAGTCGAACGAAGGGAACTGCAAAAAGAAAAACATAAAAAGAAACAGAAATATAATAATAACGAAAACAAGAAAAACAAGAAAAAAAAACTGAATATCATTACAAGAAGTGAATTTTAAATAGCACGCAAATTGGTCTGCCTTGTCCCCATGCTTCCCTTCTTGACGTTTTTACGCGATTCCCCCAATGTCGTAAAAAATTGTGGATTTGCATCCTTTCCTTGACTTTTTGCGCTCTTTGTTAGTTCACAAATTTATAGAGTTCAAAATGCTTAGGTTCACTGAAAGGGCCTTGAAAATGCAGTTGATTTTAAATAAATTTTCTGTGGGTATGTTACAAGACTGTTACAAGTACGGGTGGCATCATTTTTGTTTTTTCCTCTTTTCACAGAACTGGTTTGCCTTCTCCAAACTGCACAAGCCTCTTTTCACTGAACATGGCGTCATAAGTTTTCCAAATACGAACCCACCTTCGGATAAAATGAACAATGCTTATTGTGAGGTGAGAAAAGAATTCTTTGCAAAATTATAAGCATAAGCGTGCTATTCACAGGATTTTCCGTCACAAATATTTAGCTTACTTACATCACTGTTTATATCTTCAAAACACCTATAGTCATATACACTGTACGTGGTAGAGATCAAAGTAACCAGAAAAGCTAAGAAGCTGGTTCACAAAATAATGTTTGAAAAACGTTAATCAAAATATTAAAAGGGCAGTTCGTTCTGTTAAAATGATTAATCGCAAATATTGTTTGTCCAACCGTGACTTCAAAAATAAACACAACCGAAGGTAACTAAAGTTAAAGGAAACAGTGTTAAACGTTGTATGTTTCTCTTCCATGGCAGTTCGTCACATTCACGAGAGCTTATAACTCGACTCCGACAGTGCTTGTCTCAGCCAATCACAGCACGACAGTATCTGGGAATTCAGCACCGATCCACAACGGAATTACAACTTGGATCGAGGTAAAAGTTTCCGTCAGGGGGCGAATGTGTAGGGATGTGTCCTGGCAAAAAAAAAATTTAAACCGAAGCTCGACGAAAGATAAAACTGAACAGAGTCACGCCTGAGGCGATGTATAGGTCGATAATAGATGTGGCTCAAAATGGACCAAGAAAATTTGAGATTGCTTATTGGCTAACTTCATGTTTTCGATCGCGAATGTAATTATGTAGGTATTATTCATTAAAGTTTGAATAATATCTTTAAATACTCAGGCGCCTCGGTGGTCTCAAACTTTAAATCTGACGGTTCGGGTTTAAACGTTACCGTAGTTTTTTTCTTGGAACAAGTCATTTGCTGTCTTCATCAACGGGGATCAAGGTTTAGCCAGACTGTTTGGGCCTTATAGCTCCTGCGCCACCATCATACCTATTATTAGGGAAAAAAAGAATATTTTGGATAACCTTTGAACCTTTTAATTCCTTTAGCTTTTATAACTTTGTTATTTCTAAACCTTCCAATCTTTTAATTTTCTAGCGGTCTTTGCAAGCTTTCATCAAACCACGGTTTTCAGTTACGGCGAATATGTTTGCATTTCTATGTCACATAAAAAGACTGTAGGAGAAAGGTTTAATTTCAGAGACTATTCTAACATTCACTCCACGTTAACCCAGTTGTTTATGGTTACAACTGCATAAAATGTACCAGCTACGTTAAGTGTTTATTTTTTCAGAACATGAATACCTCTGGATTCAGAGTCTGTGTCAAGGAATTATACGGGACCAGATATGACCCCTTGTCCGTCAGTTATGCTGTGCTTACAGGTCTGTAATAAGTACTGAACTCCTTTATGAAGTAGTTTTTGGCAAACATCTTACCCGATTCATGAGGAATTATAAATACTTTGGAAGTGCTATAAACTAACACAAGCATATGGTTTGCGAGTCATGCCGAGTGAGAGTCAAGAGGGTAACAAAATTCCAGTCGCTTTTTGTTCAAATTTTCTACTTTCGGTTCCCCATTTACTGCTAGCAGCAGCTAGGGTACCATTTTGAAGTCCTTGTCTCAAAGAAATTAGGGACCTTAAGATGTGAGGACGGCGACGGCAGGTAAAACGTCGCTTAAAAAGTGAATTCGTAGTTTTCAATCTTCATCGCGATTTTTCCATCTCGCTTACTTTGTCGAAAGTACGCTACTCCTCCTGAAGTTGAATTCCTAAGAGCCTTATAACAGTTAAGCCGAGAAAGAGAAGGAAAATTTCGTCGTTGCTTGATTACGTCTTCTAAGAAACATGAAACTAGGCATTTTCACGTTGTAGTCGTGCAACGACGGCTAAGAAATGTAGGAAAAAGCGTGCTGGCACGTGCATAGTTGTTGTTTTACTATTATTAAACCTATTGCTTTTTGGCCGTTCTCATTGTCGTCGCCGTCGCCGTCGCCGGATCTTAAGGTCCCTAATAACTCATAATGACAGAAGACCTCAGTTGCCGAAATGAAAACCATCATGCATCGAACAAACGTTAAAAGTTAGTGTTGCTTCAGAATTTTTACTCCAATTTGAAAAAGTGATCCCTCTTTCATCATGACACCAATCCTACTCTCCTCAAGATAAGAATAATGATGATGGTCTACTCGCTGCCCCGAAAAAAACGTTAATTATTTTTAATTATCTTTTCTTATCACCCTTGCAACAATACTCCTACAAAAGTGCCGCTAGGGATAAACAATATCTATCAATCCGACCATAATCATATTTATTATATAATAATTTATACTGATATCAGCAATCTAAATCTTTTCCTCTTTTTACATTTTGTTAGATATTTGTGATCCTGGCTGGAACTATTTCAACGGCTTTTGCTATTTCACAAGTAAGACTTGTCAAAATTGGACCACATCACTGGATAAATGCCGACAAGAAAACTCAGTTCTTGTTGATGTCCAAAACAATGAAGAAAATGTGTTTTTACAGCATCTTCACAATGGAGCAAAATCCTGGCTGGGAATGAATGATATTTTCACAGAGGGCTCCTTTACTTGGGCAGATCGTGGTACTGGGAACTTCACAGCTTGGGCCAAAAACCAACCCAACAATTTTCGAGATGAAGATTGTGTACATACCCTTGGTGTTGAATACAAATACGAATGGAATGACGTGAAATGCAGTGACTGTCATCAGTATACTTGCAAGAAAGGTATAGTTTTTCATGTATGTTTACGTGTAAGGTTACGGTCATAAAAAGAGATTATTATCTCTGAAAAATTACATGATTAAATGATATCTTGTCATTAAACAGAGACAAACAAAAGAGTTGAAAAAAAATAATTAAGTGATGCAATGAGTGAACTGATGGATATGTTGCGGTGGGTCATCCTTGGTGTTAAAACCTGTGAAGTTTTTCTTTGTTTTCTATATTGTAGCTACTAGTTATAGCTATCGCTAAGTGCCAACGAGTAAAGCTTTTACTTATTGCTGGTTTTCACATGACGTCACTAAAATTCAAACTAAAAAACTATCGATCCTACCGTGATTTTGCTTTCACGATGAATTAGAGCAGCTGAAAACTAATTTTCATACAAATTTTCGCTTCAAAAGGATTCTTGGTTTTGTGATAGAGTACGCTTGAATTTCTAAGCTTTTGCGTGACGCGGCATTTACATGACGGCCAAGAGAGCTGTCATGTAGGTTAAAAACATGACTTATCTCTCAGGAAATTTTGCTATCTAAACAGTTCATGTATTAGAAAAAGTATTACTTTAATGAATGAGTTTCTCGAAGAAAAACTTCGCGCTTCCGTAGCAAAACTCGGTAACAGATGTTTCTGTTGGTTTCCGTCCGCCATGTTGGAGCTCATCCAGGTGAACACCAGCAAGGTGTCTCGATTTCAGCTGAAATATCTGTGTTCGTAGAGCTTTGTGTGATAAATAATGCTTCGTCTTCCGAGGAATCTATCTCCTTTCAAAACTGAGGCTTGTACTGAGCAGAATGACTGAATTCTCTGGGTTATAAAGAATACAGATTTGCAGTGTTACACGCCTTGCACGTGTTAATTTCATTGTTGGAATTGTTTTAAACAACTATAACAATGAACTACAATAACAACCCTCGGCTTCCCTAAAATCGAAGATTCATCACAAAGAAGGAACAATAGGATTTGACAAGATCCAACACAGACAAACAACAACAGGACAAGGATCAATAATTATAATGGATAATTACTTCGGCACATGGCATTATGAGAACTATTGTGAGCTCATCTGTTCTACTGCATAAAGAATTTGAAATCCCCACTTTACATAGCAAGTTTTTCGAGATATTGAAGTTCGTGGTTTTGTCCGAAGTTGACCACATATCATTTTGGGTAAAACTTAGTGGTCTTATAAGGAAACTTAGAATCCTTGAAAAATCATATCAAAGTCCGCGAATAGTCATCGTACAGACTTAAATTTGGTCTCTTTTTAAAGCTAAATAAGAATTACGGTGCGCCGATGAAGAATTCCGAATTATTTTGCTGCAAAGACACAAAAAAATTTCGCGGCGTTATTTTTCGTAGCGGCAGGCAATAAAAAAAGTCCAGCGGGCAAATGCGCAGCCATACGCGTATGTTGCAAATAAATCCAGCCGATGATTGGTTGAATGAACACGAAGGATGAACACAGGACTCACAAGCACTCACACGACTCGTGGATTCTCTGTTCTGTACTATCACTTGTTCCCTCGAAAACAATGCATTCTCTGTTCTGCATTACGTCGTAAATGTTGTCGTACATTACTATATGTTACATCGATTCGAGTTTTTTTCTGCCCCTGGAATAGTATCTCGCACGGCCCTATTAGGCTTGCGCCTCTCAGCCTCGCGTCTTCGCGAGGATGCTTGTTTAAGGAATTATTTCCCTTGGCTCTATTATGTTGACTTGTCAGGGGCTTCTTTGTATTAATTGTTGTACGTCACTCGTGAGTTTCACAGGTTTTTACACCCCGGAGAATGACACGCTGTAGTTCAATTTTGTCCTTGGTTTAAAATTTATTTCCCTTTTTTCAAACTCATTATCATACCTGAATAACATACCCCAAAAGAAAAGAAAAGAAATTAAACCATAGATGAAATTGAACGACAACTGAAATAAATGAGTAAATGACAAGCTTATGAACAATTCCTAATTATAATTCAAACTTCTTATATTTATTAGATTAAACGCCGGGGCGTTTATTAAATTTTTCGTTATTCGAGTGCGGCGTTTATTTAATATCCGTTTATTTCTTGCAAACAATAGTATGGCAACTGAGCATTAAAACTTTAAAAACAGAAACATGTTTTACTGCTTGTCTAACTAAAGTCATTATCTATATCTTTCTCAATTTCACAATTTGCATGTTAATATACTACTGGAATACATAAAGTGAATAAAGTTAATTATATTCCTTTGAGCTTCGAATGTACTGATCTTAAAGCGTTGTTAAAATCAAAGAAAATAATTTTTTCAGGCTTGCTCAAACATGATTATTACTGCATGCATTTACTTTTTGAGTCTATTATTGGAATAAACACCGCATCATGACGTGGCGTTTATTCGAGGGCGGCGTTTAATCGAATAATGACGGTAATTAAAGAATTGATAGCTGCTGTAATTGCAGTAACTAAACATGGTATCTTTCGTACATTACAGATCTGAATGAGTGCAGCAGGGACAAGTATTATTGCCATCGTTTTGCCACCTGTTCGAATAATCGTGGTTCCTTCACTTGCACTTGTGACCTTCAACAAGGTTTTATGGGGGATGGCTTTGAGTGCTCTTATTATGCAAGTAAGTGATCTTATGCAAAGAATTAATTTTACAATGCCGAAGTTTAAAGATCACGAGAAGGGCAATTTTGTATCATTTTCAACCACCGAGAAAAGGGTTTGAAAACAAGGACAGGAAATTTTTTGTAAAATTTTTAACTATTAATCTGTAATATAAGAAACCAGTTTTAAGTTTGCATGCCTTCTGTTACAAGCTGACTTTATATGACAAATGAAGGGGTGTTCGAGCAACTCGCTCCCTTGACTTAGAGGTACCAGGTATCTGGGCCTAGCTGTTCAAAGGCCGATTAGCGCTTAACCCAGGGTTAAATTTAACCCGGGTTTCTATTTCTTTTGTTCAAAAGCATTTTAATTTCTCGGATAATTTTCTCTGTTATTTTTAAGAGCATCCAATCATCAACTTGTTTACAAAAAGAATAAAACTGAAATTACTCTCTAAGCTTTTATTTCTGAATTCAAATTTCGCACTAACCCTGAGTTATCTTAACTCAGCTTGAACAACTCGGCCCTGATTTACATTAGCTTACATTTTGGGATTCTTTATTTTTCGCAGCAGTTCGATCATATGTTTTCTTCTACAGCATCACATTCCGACTGCTGCTGAACATAACTACAACATAACCGCACTCCACTCTAACTGCGCCAAATATTGCGAAAAAGGCTTAAATAACTTAACGTTCGGGCTTGCTGACAATGAGAGTAACGAACGCACTTTCCTAATGAGTTTAGGGATTTCCTGTTGATCACCAAAGTGGAAAAAACAAACCTATAAGGTATGATAATGACATGAGCAAGAAACCAATGAAAGCTTGACAGCTGATACCACCGGGCTCTACCGTAAACCAAAACAGGAACTCTGATGTAGGTAACAAACACGGTCAGCGGTAATCCCTAAACGTGTCCGATTCAGGGGCTGACACTCAAATTTTAATAAATGACAATTATGTTGAAAAAACTACTAAGAAAGGTAACAAAATACGGATGAACCTTGATCTACAAACCTAATCATAACGAGACTCTATAAGGTACGGGTGTAACGTCAAGTGCAAACATGAAATAGACTAAAATAACCTACAAAATACGGCTTCACAACAGAAAATGGGACATAGCTGCAGTACAGCTGTACCTCTTACTTTAGTAGCTTAAGTAAACAAGTGTAGGGACCGGAGGAGACCATACATCGCGCGTCTCAGTCAAATCTTGAAAACTGGAATAGTAAGTGACAAGAAATAATTACTCTCGACATATCATAAAGAACGTAAATGCAACCTCACCTGAGAAACAGGTTCTGAAAGGTTAAAGCAAAGCCTGCATGAAGTTTCCAAAACTCCCGGCCGTTATGCGACGCTTTCCTCATGCCAACCAAAAATAAATAAACAAACTATCAAACAAGATCTGAACAGCAAAAGAATTTTGATACCTTTGTCGTTATTTGTAATCTCTCGATAAGCATTGTTTATACTATTGTGGGGTGGCAAGGGGACAGTACAAGTTTGGTTTGAAAGGACACAATGATTTCAGCTATTTCAGCTCTGTTGAGGAACAACCTGTTAACTTAGAAAAGATGCATGAAAAACGAGTAAGGGTAATCTGAGTGAGCAATCACAGACTCTTGTAAAGTGATTCAAATTTTGGTGCAAGTTTGCAAAAAAAATGATCAGTCATTCGCCCCAGCTTTCGAGTTCTAGTATGCCCTGCTATGGCAAATTTATGCGCCAAAGTTAATGATAGTTATGGTAATAAAATAATGTTTGGAATAACTAAATCCTCAATTTGTCTTTTATGCTGTTCTTTGGCATCTTATTCAGCTACATACCCTGTTGGAATGGTTAAACAATTTTGGACCAACTCCCCTCCTTCTGTCCGTGTTTTTTCCTTTAGTGTTTTTTCAAAACACTAAATGATCTGCAGTCTTATATTTTCAGTTAATTTCACAAATCGAAAAAATCCAGCTAAACCCTGAAACTATCATATTTCGCGTGCCTGATCCTGCATGGCTTTTTCGATTTGTGAAATTTACTGAAAAAATAGGACTGCCGGTCATCTAGAGTACTGTTTTGAAAACCTTGACCGGCAGTCGACGTGAAAAAAGTTCTAAGTCCTATATTTTCATTAAACTTCACAAATCGAAAAACTACCAGGATCAGGATCTCGACATATGATAGTTTCAGGGTTTAGCTGGATTTTTAGCTGGGGAGGGTAGCTTTGGGCAAATGATGTATCGGTCCCCAGAAAGATCACCCCAGGACTCCCAGGATGGATTTTTTTGTACAGTGCCCAGGCCTCATTTTCTTGGCCGCGCGTTGATCTGGCCCGGCTGCTTCGGCGAGCATGTTCTTGGTCTTTTTGCATTATATCCTTTGAATTTGTCAAAGTCTGTGGGATTCGTTTTTCTTTCTGGGAAAGCTTCATTGGTTTCTATATCTGCTGCTATCCTATTTCTACGATCCTGGCATGTTTATTTTCCGTTGGAGTTCGAATTTCGTGGAAAAAGTTGTGTTGGAAGGGAGCATGTCGGCGAAAATGGCACCTCGTGTCTCCTACCTTGTACATTATTATTGTATATAGAGTGAATTTGAACAAATTATCACGAAACGTCGTTGGAGCATTAAGGACAACAACAACTAACTGCAGAGTAAGTTTTATTGATCTTTATTTAGTATTTCCTACAAATTTTAGGATCGTATTTTTACCCCATACAAACACTGTAATTTTACTGGAACCGTACTGTGGTACTATCACAGAGCCTGGGTTACCTGTGCACCCAGCAGAGCAGGAAATCATCACATTCACGGCCAATAGTCCAGTTTCGAATTAAAAATTACCACTGAATACAAACATTAACGACACATTCATACCGGGTTAGCCACGACGTAAAGTAAAATATTCAGAAATTCTGGCAAGTAAGTGTTTGAAATTTGAATATACACTATAGACAGAGTAATAAACAGGTCTTTTTCTCGTTGGAATTTGTATATTACTTCAGATGGAGGCTAAGGCTATAAAAAAATGCGTCGTCACCTCTTTAATTCAGCGGTCATAGCGAACTCGAAAATGGACTATTATAAAGAGCAAAGGAAATGACCTGTAAATGTCACACAAACAACAGCAAAGATAAGACTGATTCGCTCAGTTAAAGTTTGGAATCCTCCACAGCTTAATCTACGGATTTTGGATTTAAGAACTAATAAAAATTTGCAACGCCTTGCAACACGAAAAATTCACGAACAAATAAGGCGCGTAATATCGGCGTCATTTTCGATAACACCGTAACAACATAGTTAACAACATAGTTAAAGTGGCATTCTACCACCTTAGAAATATAGCTAAGAATCGCAAGTATATCAATGTCACAACAGCTGAAGTTCTTGTGCACGCATTCATAAATTCGAAGCTGGATTTCTGCAACTCGCTTTTACATGGTCTTCCCAAGTATGAAATTAACAAACTGCACAGTGTCCAAAACGCTGCAGCGCGTGATTGCTTGCTTACGCAAGTGTGATCACATAAGTGATACTCTAAAGGAGTTGCACTGGCTACCAGTGGAGCAAAGAATAATCTTTAAGATTAATCTTATTTGTTTTAAGATACTCATCAATTTAGCTCCTGATCTTTTTACCTAATCCCTGTTTTTGAACCTGCGAGGTACCTTCGCTCATCTTCAGACAAGGATGTAAATAAGTTTAAATCTAAATTGAAGACCTTAATTTCTTTTTAAACGAGTTTACGGACCATCTTAGGTTTTTTATTTTGTATTTTTGTGACTATGTATATATATGTAAATGATTTTAGCATTTTCAGTTATTATCCAGACCTTTTTGAAGCATTGTAAAGCGCTTAGCACTGAAAAGTATAGGCGCTATATAAATATTTATTATTATTATTATTATTATTGTTATTAACAATTCCAAATTAAACGAAACCAAGGATCAGTTGAGAATACGATCCACGAAACGCTTACACATTGAACCAGTAATGGCCCCGAAATTACACACTTCACAGATTTTCAAAGGCCTTACATATGTTTGTTTGAATAAACAACAGGCAAATTTACTCTAGTATCTAGGAGTAATTTTCTCAAAACCAGAAAAAATTACTACACACCTGAAATAGGCAAGAATTCAAAGACCACTCCACTCAGAATGCATGACAATCACAACTGTTTACATCACGTTCGGCAGATCTTTCTCTGCGTTACAGAGACGCACGCCATCTTTCTTTGTTTCACATGTTCCTCTGATGGTCCTTTACAAATAACGCGTGGTCTCATGGAATTTGAAAGGAAACAAAATAATGCCGGCGCAAAAGCCTTGCAAATACTGATTTTTCTTTAAAGGTCCAACATGGAATTATCAGTGACGTCATCATATATCCAGAAATGGATATCTCCCGGACTGATAAGAAAAATGTTAATAAAGATGTTAAATTTCATTGTTTTTCAGTGGATAAAGCCTCAAAAAATGAGACACTAACTTAAAGTACAAAAAATTGGACACCTGTATAGAATTTTAAAGGGACCCATTTTCAAAGTGATCAAAATATCTCGAAACAAAATTATTGAAACAACAAGACATTCCTTGCAAAAAAACTAATACAAATTCACCACGACTGACAAATTCGAATTTTAAACCTCAATTGGACATGACAGGCTAAGTTAGCTTAATTCAAACTCGTTCCGACTGTAAGAAAACAAGACAGTCTATTTTCTGCAACTGACTCAACATTGCTTTACTTTCAAGTGCTACTTTTCTTCGTGAACTTCATCCTCGCAAGTCAATTCATTGCATATAGCCCCTACGTACATTCAGAATCTATTTTCTTTGAAATCGCAAAGCAGATATAACTTCAGATCGTCTGGTTGGATGTTTTGGTAATGTCGCCAACAATAAGAACTAAGGTTCAGCAATAGGCGATGGGTTCTTCCAGGTGGCTGCGCCCAAGTTATCGAATGCTTTATAAGACCCACCCTTTAAGATCTGCTTAAGGTGATCTTAAGTTTTAAAAATGTTATCGCCGAATGGACCTTTTACGCCCAACAGTTTCATTTTCTCCGCCAAAAACTCTCCAGAGTAGCTGCCATTGCTTTTTTTCTCTTCTCCTCCTTTCCTTCTCCTCGCTGTTTCTTTTTCTCCTTTCCTTTTCCTTCGTTTCTGTAATTTTGGAGCATCTCGGACTTAAGAAACCTGCCTTTTGACACCTTTTCACTCAAATAACTACAAATTTCGTTTGGTTGGTTTTCAAAAAATAGGTTACATATATTTCTGTCATATTTTGTTATTACCATGTCATTATTTGTTTTCGTATTGTAAATAGATTTTTAATGTTTTTATTATCTGTTAGTGTAAGGCGCATTTAATCATTGTTATGGACTTGCGCAATCTAAGTGGATAAAATATTGATTAATATTGAAGTGACGTTTCTAACACGTTTAGGAATTCAAAATAGTCTTCATTGAAGTAGACTCAGGTTAACCTGGTACTGTTGTAGTTCTGAAAAATGTGTATCTATATTAACGGTTTTGAGAACAACGCAAGAAAATAAAAATTTAAAGTGTCCTTCTTTTTTCTTAAAGCCGTCATGTTTTTTTTTAGGCCTCGGATAAAAACAACTTCAGGTCTTAGGCCGTTTCCTAAATCCGGCCAAATTAAATGGCTCTCTACATCACTACTGCTTATTTTTTTGTTTATATCTCGTAGGAGGATTGACAGGCTCTGCTATTGTGGGAAATGATGTTAGCTACTTAACATATTTGAGCACTTTGCTCAAACCAGTCTCGAGCAAATCTTCACGATGGAGGCGCTGTTGGCGCGCGTCCGTGGACGGCTGGGCTGCCAATACTTTTCACAGCGGATGTGACAACAAAGGACCAACTGTAACAATAATAAGAGTCGGGGGGAAGTACATATTTGGGGGGTATACCAGCGTATCTTGGGGTAAGTTGAAGGATTTTCTAAACCTGAGCGTGATAGCATGTAAAATTGTGTAAGGAAGAATTTGTAATAGGTCTTTTTTTATTACTTGCCGGCTTGAAGGGTCACTTCACCTATCGTGTAAACGTGATCAAATTAAAATGAGAGATTATATGGACAAGCGGGTTACTCCAACTAAGTGGGCCATTACCATACCAAACTACCCCCCCCCCCCCCCCCCAGACACACACACACACACACAAGCCCTTAAAAATTGCATTCACGCTGCGTTTCAAACTTTATTCCTAAATCGCCCTTATTCCATCTCGTTCAATTTGCCAAATGCTGGCGAAGTTCTTTTTTCGGGGTTAAATTCCAAAGGTCCCTGTCAAAGAAAAGAAATAAGAATCGTTGTCTTACGTTCAGGTACTCCATAGAACGTGAAATTAGGACGTTTCACGTCGTAGTCGTGCAACGTCATGGTAAATAAAATATGTTCCGACTCGTTGCGGTAGCTGTCATCGTTGACGGCCTTGACGGACAACGATCAATTAAAATAAATAAGGAGGAGAATGGAATTTTTTTAAGCTCAGTTTTTTTTAAATCTCCGACATTTCTCTTATTATCCTTATTTTTTTCATCACAACGTAATGCACAAGTTTTTTTTTTCCCTTGTTGCAACAAATTTGGAATATAGAGCAGCAGAAAGACAGAGAAATAGAGAAAGTAGGCGGCAGGCCAGCGAAGCTCAACGAGAAAAAGGGCGACAGAGGTCTAGAGCGAGAGATAAAAAACAGAGGAGACATTTTTTTTGTTGGAAGAACAACATGAAAATTTTGTAGCGACGGTGACAAAATGGGAAATGCCAGTGGCCACCAATGCAAGCTGAAAGTGAGCGGGCAGTGAAAAAAAAGTTGAACGAGAACACGTACGACATTTCCTCCATAAAACGTGTAACCAAGAAGTTTCTGGAAGTTTCACGTTGTAGTCGTGCAAAACAACGGCAAAGAATGTAAAAAAAAAGCGTGCTGTACGTGCCAGGAGCTATTTTTGCTAATTAGACCGATTGCTACTTTTCACCTTTCTCCGGCGTTGCCTTCCCGCTTAGCACTACACGATTTTATATTTTGTTTGAACAAACTATAAATTTTATCGAGAGCTTCGCTTTTCGCCCTGGCTAAATCTATATATTATTTATATTTACCACTAAAACTCTAGAAGGAAATAACAACGGACAATTTTAACAAAGGCCACACGAAGCCGTTCACGCTTTCCCTTCAGTGAAAACTGTGAGAATTTGTCCTGCGACTTAGCTTGGTAAGGGAAAGATGCAAATACTGGACAAAAATTGCAAATGCAAATTCCAACCCTTGAGTTTGGTTCGTCAAAATGTAAATAACAATATTGGCACTGAATCAGTGTACTATTCATGCTACTCATGGAGGTATGTATGGTCCGCATTAGTTTGGGAAAATTAGCATAACGTCAAAGGAGTAAATGTTATAAGCCGAATTTTTGGCCGGTTTGTACTGTTTGCCTTGAAATTTCAAGGTGTTGCAGTGAATCAATCTCACTAAAAGTTTCAGACATTATTGTAAGCATTGTGAATATACGAAGATTATTTGACGAGGTTTAAAAAGAATTCTGTCGAGCCGTTCTGTAGAGAGATACAGAAAAGCGCTAAAAGTCAAAATTTAGAAGAAAGTTGCACTTAAACAGGTGGTGAGATAACTGGTTAGTTTTCAGGATGACAAGAAAGAAAATACGCCAAAATTTCCAAGCAGCAAAACATGATATTAAACAGCATTCTGATGCTACTTAAGACAAATTTATATTATTTACAGCTTTTTTTATTAAACAATTTATCACGACTATTGAAAATATAAGGTTTGTAATATATTTACGTTTTATTTGAAATCAAACATGCAAAATTTTTTATTTCTTACGGAGGTTATTTGCTAAACACGACAAGTTTCTGGTGTCGGATTTTCAGTAGCAGGCCTAAATCGCTGAAAATTCGGCTATTATTGTTTCATTTTTTTGTCTATTGTTGCCATAGTGATATCGATTTTACTTAAAAAGTCCAAAGTCAGTAAGTGTTAAAAATTTCATAGCCATCGAACAAGGATAAAAGACTTCTAAGGCGATTGGAAAATATCGGTATGGTCTTCGAAAAAACTGTATCGAAAACACCTTGAGTGACAACCCCATATACAGGGGACACAAAATTTGGTCCGGGAAAGACGTCCACATGATCTTTATATCTGTTACCTATATTGAAGGGACACCTCTATTTAAGGGAAAGGGACAGGTTTTCTTGGTCCTGAAACCTGGCTTTAACCTCCATTCAGGGGACACCTTAGCACTTAAAACGTGACTGACCACAAAGAAGGTTGATGTCTTTAAGTGTACACTAATGATCATGATGGCAGCTTTCACAAACTGAACTATCTCACTTACATCGATATACTGCAATATTTTTTGTCATCTTAGCTTTTTAAATAAGAAGAAGTTTCTTCCTTCCAAAAGTAAACACTTAAGTAAGAATAAAATTAGTATTAAAATCACACTTTTCATCGATCTTTGCCAAGGAACTTATACTACTATTATTAGTTATCAGTATATTTGAATTATCGAATTTTTTGAACGAAGTCTGTGCATTGGTCATCTTTTTCATTTCTTATTTTCCCAACAGGTTACAGCAGTTGCTACGGGTATCGATATGATTCCCAGGCATTCCTTTTCTCGCTGGTGAACAAGCCAGGATGGGCACCTGTGAAACTGCCTCAGACAGGGACACATAGTTATTACAGATGTTCAATATACGACTGCTCGTCTTATGGACCTACTTTCGGTGGAGGCCATGACCTTTACATTGCCGACTACGCGTCATCAAGTAGCAGTTCCTACACCAACCTTGACCATGATTACAGCGCACCAAGTGGGTACAGCTTTGGAAGCACCTTCACCCAGACATTTCTAGCAGGCACTTATAGTTTTTCTCCAGACGAAGTGGAAACATTTTACGAAACAACCTAAAAGCTCAAGCATCGTATTCAGCTTCAAACGTTACAGTCACTTAATTTAACACTGATTAAGCCAGGATAATATTTTTTTATAAACCAGGCAATGAAAAAAGAAATACATTTTAATTTGTCAATTCAATATTGAGACCTGTATGTTACAGTATAAAACTTGTACCACCTTATTAAACTGATCTTTAATATAACCAAATGTTCTTTATTTATTTCTTTTCAAACATTTCCCCTCGTCTGATTTGCAAACTATACACCTGTTGCGTTTTTTATATTTAGCTGGTCAAAAAGTATAGGCGGGGAGGGGGGTGGGCCGGAGCATTTGGAACTGTGGTTGATAAAAAACACATGACCCACCCCCTCCCTTCGGCGCAAAAATGACTGACCCACCCCTAAAGCAAGGTTGGAAATTGCATGACCCATCCCCTAGTTAAAACATGGATGTTTGGTTTTCTCTTAATAATCCAATAAATCCTTGTTCTGTGCTTGACAAAATTTGTTGATACACTGCTACAACCAATATCAAAATCACAGAAATCATACCTTTCACTGAAAAGGCAAATGTGATTAAAACTGAACATTCCTTGTTTCGATGGACGTTGAGTCTTGACACAAATATACAGCAAAATAAGGGTATATTGAAATTGTCTGTCACAAAGCATATGAAAATTTGTACAAAGACAACCCATTCCTACACATTACTTGCCGGAAATGCTTAGATTAATCGATCCTCAAAGAAAATTTCTTCCACTTCAATGGAAAGCACTACCTACAAAACCATGGATCTGCAATGGGCACAAAGACAGCAGATTTGATTCCTTTGCCAATATTTTCATGACATATATTAAAACAACAACTCTAAGCAAAACTGCCTTTAGAACAACAGTTTGGAAATGCTACATACACGATATCTTTGCCCTATGGGACATGAGTAAACCAGACATCGAAGCCTTCATGGAACAAACAAACTTACATCACCCAACTATTGAATTCATGGCCGAAACATTTGACACTGAGACTGTGTTTTCAGACACGGCTGTATGCAAAGGCACAAGATTCAAGAAAAAATCTATCCTTGATGCAAAGACTCATTTTTAACAAAGACAAACCTTCTTGCACACACATTTCTCCTCGCGTCACAAACTTTGATAAAAACATACTATCAGAAATAAAATTCACACAAGGGAGTCTAAACTCCTAAAACAAAAAAACAAGGAGGAAAAAGAAATATTGCCATTCGTGACACAATACTAGCCCTCAGTGTCTACTATAAAGGAAGCTTGAATGAAAAAATGGAATCTTATACAAAACCAACTGTAACCTCAATAAATTTTTAAAGAACCACCAATCATTTCCTTACAAAAAAGGAAAATCATTAAAGGACATGCTCGTAAGAGCCAAAAAAAAGGTTAACAGAGGGTCCCACGCCCGTATAGATGTGCGGCCTGTCACCCTTTTGTACTTTCTCGCACAACAGATTTGTGAGTATTTTAGCAATAATTCCAGCTGGCTGTGTTTTATATAACAAGTTTAGTCAACTGTCTCTTTAGTAGTTAGTGCCTAGCTGTGTAATAAAATAGGGTGACCCACCCCCCAAGGGTAGCTAAAAATTGCACGACCCACCCCTTGCACAAGGCTCAAAACCTCATGACCCACCCCTCTCTGCTCCGGCCCACCCCCATACTTTTTGACCAGTCCCTAAGCCTACATTATTTTTCATATTTCGTTTTATATGTTTTGCCTGGTTTTCTTGATCACGAAGGACTATTAAATTGATATTTGGTAACCACTGGTGCGAGCGCTAGGTGAATATAATGATATCCCCCTATTGTGGTGCTACGGCTGAAACTGATGTAACTCGAATAATTTTTAAGAAAGGCTTATGAGCATGGGATTAGTTATCTGAGCAAAGGAGAAATTCATTTTGGCAAATCCTAATTAAAGAATTATAGTTCAATATAGACCTGCATTAACAGCACCGTAGACCGATAGTCCATAGGTCAAACCAGGTATAACGATTTGAAACAGATGGTATAATTCTGTCTGAGTATAACCCTTCTTCCTTAACGATCTCAGTATAAAAAGACATTTATTAGCTTTAATTGGCTTATGCCCTACATGTGTAGTAAATCGGCAATCTTCTTGGAAAGTAACAACACTAATGGAGAGGGCTCTGCTTTGCGAAATACCTGACAAGAGAAGAAAAACCTGTGTACAAGGCATTTTTTTCTTAGAAATAGAAGTTGAACAATTTTTGATGTCCGCCATTTGTAATGCGGCAATCAGCCGAAACAGAATTAAGTACCCAAAAAACACTACGAGCAAAGATAGCATCATATACAATTCATTCATTTCAAACAATCAGCGTACATAGCCTGCGTGGTGGGCATAAAAAGGGGAGGGAGAAAAGCGCCAAAGGGTAAAAGGAAGGGAGCGCCGTCTCTTCCCTCTCTCCCCAATCCCCCTCCCTTTTTCCCTTCCTCCCTATCCCCTACCCCTTTCGACACCTGCTACGCAGGCCACAACATACACCGAGTCAGGTACTTTCGCCGACTCTGGAAGAATGGAGCAGATTCTTTCCAAAACGGGTTCATCACATAAACTTCCCACTCCAGGTCCCCCACACAGAGCAAAAGAAAACTGAGGTAAAACAGCATCTCATCAGAGACAAATTCCTGTCAAACCCGATGTGGCTACTAGCCAGCCCAGGACCGCGTGGTAGTGTAATTTTCGCGCCCTTTTGGGGTCAGGTAACCAGGCCGTTATTTTTAAGTGGTATGATCGTTAGCTCGGCGGTCAGAGATTACTTCGCTCGCTAGTTCAGCGATGGATTTTGGTTTTTCTGGACAAATTTATAATAGGCTCACAAGGTATTAGTCTTTCTTTCGTTTCCTCTTTTATTTTGTTTATTTTTTCGCTTGTTGTAATTTTCTAGTTTTTTTACTTAGTACATTTCTCGTCGCATGTAATTAAGATCTCTCAATTGTATTTTCCTTTCTAGTTTTACGTCAACCTTATCTACTTGTCAGTAAAACAACAGCCGTTTTTCAGTGTTAGAATTCACTGCGTTTGAGTTGTTGTCTCAATGTGGTCACACCCAATAAAACAAAAAAATAATTGATCGTTGAGACAGGTCAGCTTCATGACCTCACAATGTGTAGCCTGAATTTCAGCCGTCTCCTCGAGTGACAAACTTCCTAGATAGACGTCTGAAAGGACTGGTTGCATTGTTAAAGCCGTCCAGTGAGCGGTGAAGAGGGGCACAAAGTGCAGAGAAAAAAGTCTCTTCATTAGACGTGATATTACCTTTTGTAGTTTTCCGGAACTCTAGATAATTTTACCAGATTTGTAACAAGTTCAAGTGAGAGTTTGACCGTTCAAGTTTATACACCTCGATTCTCAGTAAAAAGTAAGGCGATTTGCACCTTCAACTGCAAAATTTGACGGCAATTAAGGTCACAAGTAACTCCTCTGCGCTCTTTGTTTCTTCTGGTAATCGTGTGAGGAATTTTGATAAATAATAGGCCATTTCCGAGTTACTCCAAGCCTCTGTTTCAAAGCGAAGCCAAGTGCCGGAAGCTAATAATATGAAAATAACTTTTTAATTCTCATGCAAATAAAAACTCTTTTACACAGAACTCTGGAAATGGAACTCGGAAATGGCCAACTCACCAAGCCAAGAAATCAGTGGGTCCGGTATGTCTCACACGTGCCCTGAAGAATATATACACATACGGATTCGTCAAAACACCCACGGCAATCGTGCCATTGGTTAAATAATACGATTTGTCAAAGAATTAAGCCTTGCGATTCGTTCAATTTGAGCGATTTGTACGAATAGAGAGTTCCTCAGTCGATTGGTATGACCATTTTTGGTCAACTGCCTGCTGTATGTCATTAGCGTCTCAGGTGGCTTGAAGATACGCGCAATGGAGCGAAGTTAGACTGCATCTCATTACAGGGGCACCCATTGACTTGATTCTGCAAAATAACTGTTACAAGCGGCAAATTTATACTACCTCGAAATATCTACAGCTCCAGAAAGGCTAAAAATTTCTGGATAATTGTTAAACTCGGCTAAGATATACGGAGTCTTTTTTTTACCAACTTTCCTACGTTTTTCAGAGATTTTTGACAGTTCATATTTATTACCTAACAGCTAAGGCCATCCTCTTTTCTTCTCCTTTTAGCGTCGTCCGACCGACCCAAATTTTTGGCATTAAAAAAAACAAAAAAATTAACGACGTAGTTAAACCATTTTACACTTGACATAATTCTTTTAATCTGAAAAATGAGCATAGTAACAGCAAAGAGAACAACAGGAACAAAAACATGAACACTTTTTACAGTATATAATTGTGCCTTTTATTAATCGAAATATGTGAATGTTAACTTTTAACGTGGTCCTGGGGTACCAGGGCCTACTATTCCGAGACTTCTTGGGATTTTGTTTTTAGTTTTTTTTCCAATCCGATCGACCGACTTTCTTTTACTGTTTTCTGGTTAAAAAGCATTTTATTGCATATGCATTAGTTAGGAAGCAAATGCGCAATTTTTTTCTTTCCAATTTTATGCTGTGAACTTAAATTGACTGTTTTTGTAAATGACGTTTTCTTCCCACATTAATTAAAATAAAATAAGTGTGTTTTATTGCCGAGTCATTTCAAGTTCATTTTTCTTTCAAAAAATTGAAATTTTATTCATATTTTGATTGTCAGTCATAATTTTGAAAGGTGTTATGAAGCTTTTTTTCTTTTCGCGGACAGTAACAGAATGACGGCGCGTGAGTGAAATGTCTGAAAATAGTTTACATAAAAGATTTTTCGATCATTTTAACGTCAGACACGTCACTTTGCCAGAATGACTTCGCCTTTTTGGAATACGTTGTATAATGTTGTTACGTTTATAATTTGTAGTTAAAATATAGTGCACATTTAGCCGTATAAATACACAGCACGCTTAGGGCAGTTTGTGTAGCCGGACTGCAAAATTATATGATTCTTCGTGGGGGAAAATGTTAAATACGCCGTTATCAACCTTCCTGGGTATTTTCGCCAGAAGAATAAAAAAGTATTAACTGAGTATCAGATATTGTGATGTAGTTT